CTGTGTGTCCCTGTGTGTCTCTGTGTGTCTCTGTGTGTCTCTGAGTGTCCCCAGCCCCTCGAAAACTGGTTTTGGGCACCAGTGATCCATGGATGTTAGGCAAAATCATTCAGCATTTTTACAGAAAACGCATTTTATCCAGTAATTTTTATTGTTCATTGGGGGAAAAAACATATTGATTTGTGTTCAAGGTTTTAAAAACTTCTGGCGTCTATTTAAAACTTAAACTTTTTATTAGACATTGGACAAGAATCCATATTCTGAGCAGGAGGCTCTTGGGTTTAATTAATGGAAATGTGTTGTAAAGTGTCTGGCAATACGTGCTGTGGTCTGGTAAACAGTAAGTAATAAAAACAAGCCTATTTCTGAGACAAATTGTACCGTTCTGGGGGGAGTATCAGTCCTGCACAGATGGAGCTGACGGTTCTCTGATGTTTGTTGGAACTCAGGACTCAGAGAAAATTGCGTTCTACAGCAGAACAGGCGAATATCAGAAAAGCAGTAATGAGTGCTGTGTTTTCTGCTGATAGTTGTGGCAGAAGTGGCCTCGAGTCAAATACGCAATCCAAACCTCCAGCTGCTCCCTGTCCACCCGCACCGACTTCTCTCTTCTGTCAATTCACTGACATGAGCTCAGCTCTTAGCTTCTTGTTCGTGACTTATGAATGGAAATGCTCAACTTTAATATCTGTGTAAGCACAGAAATGCTGACCAAATGTCTTTTTAATGACAAACTATCAGCAGATAATGGGATGCTTTAAGTTTCAGATGATGTCTGTCACAAAAAATCAGTTTTGCCTTTTCAAACCTGGCCCAAAAAGCTCAAAATGGGACGATCTAACCAGTGGTGGATCTAGGATTGTTCAGTATAAGGGGCCATCACGGGGCCACAATTTTCATAGAGGGACCAAGTATTTGTTCAACATCCTTGAACACAAATCCCCAGTTTTTGTAAGTTTTATACGTTTAATCACACACGTGTTCAAACACTTGTAAAAGCTTGCACAGTAAATTCTCCTAATCAATTTTGCATGTTTTGTTATTGTACATAAATAAAATACTCTCAAACACACATGTGAGAAAATCTAGCCGTCATTGTAAAAACATTTTTCTGCAGGATTTTTCAAATTGAAAAAGACTGTGAGCTTTCTTCATGCTGGACTTTCCTATTCGACTCACTGGCGCCACTAGTGGTTGGAATTGGAACTGCAGCCACCATCATTGTTTTTGGGCAAGCATAGAAGAGTGAAAGGACAGGGGCACTTCAGGGGGGCCAATCAGATTTCAGATGGGGCCAATGCCCCTGTGGCCCCGCCCCTAGAACCGCCCCTGGATCTAACTAACCATGTTTGTGGCATGATCACAGATTTTTATGACTGCTTCTCGWCTGACGAAACACAAAATGCTGAAAGAACCGGGGAGCTTTCACTTTCTGTTATGTGTCTAAACCTGACAGACGGTGAGTTTCATCAGCCTCATGTTATCTCACTGCAGGCGATCAGTGGAGCTGTCATAAACAGCCCGAAGCTTGTGACAAACAAAAAACAAAAGCCAAAACCAAAAAAATCCAAGTCAGAGCAGTGTGTGGTGTGCTGACCAAACTGTCCTCCCGAGTCTTTCTGTGTCTTTTGCTGCTTTGCAGAAAGACGGTGAGACAACCATCTGCTTCACTCTGAGTTTTTAACTTTAAAAATGCATTACGGCTTTGTGCTGACTCATTCAGTATTTTGGTGTGCCGCAGTGTAGTGCGTCGTGTGTGTGTGTGTGTGTGTGTGCTGATATGGAAGGAAAATTTAACACCATTAAATGAAAATGAAGAGCTCCTTATTGTCTCCTTGTCTTTTTCTCTGTTGCTGCACTATGTGTGTAAAGGTGATTATAAAATGCTCGTTTCACCTCCATGTTGGTTCTAAATCTTTCACAGCTCTTTTGTCGTTATGCTCCTTGTATAAGACTCTAGTTTCACAAAGAGTTATTGTAGAGGGTGACCACTCCAAAGTGGTTTACTCTGCACAGTTAGTGGGATTTCAAAGAGGCCGGATGGAAAATTCGACTTTTTCTGCAAAACRTCTACAGAAGACATGAAAATCTATGATTCAAATGAACTGAACTGAATCCAATTTGTATTTGAGTTACAAATAAATAACAATGTCATGCTTAGACTACATTCTTCATATTCAACTTCATTAAACTGACTGCAGAAAGCATCATTTTTATTCATTTTCTCCCCCAAATCCATATTCAAGTCATTCATATAAAAATAGCTCCATAAAATCCAAAGTGACCATTTAACTCAGTGTTTTTCTGAGTTTATGTAATTCTCACAGATTCTGAGTTGAAATTGCATGTTGGAAAGTGTTAATATTTAACTCTTTAATAGTGTTAAACATTTGACACCTGTTGGTGTTATTTATGACACTGCACGAGTGCACTTTTAACTCAAAATTGTGTAATTCTTTTTCACTGTTAGCGTTCAAATTTTAACACTCATCGTGTCGTTTTATGACACATTAGGTGTGTTTTTAACATTAGAATTGTGTTATTTTCCTACATCAATGTGTTAAAATTTATTGCTTTGTTTTTCAATACATACAAAGTGCATTCTGCACTTTGTAACCGAGCATACAAGATCAATGTATGTTAATTGTATTTTAAAAGTAATCAACTAACCTGATCAAAACAACTTAACCAGATTAACTCATTTTTACTCTCATCAAAACACATCATTTCTGCAACAATATGTTTAGTTAGATAGTCTTTAATGTTCTGCAGGCGGGAAATTCAGGTGTAACAGCAGCAGCAGATATATCAATCCACAAAATAATATATTGCTATGCAACGTTATCAGTAGTAGCGATAATAATAGAATTAAAAATAATAATATAAAAAATTGATACAATAAACACATTAGCCAACAGAGGGAGATGTTGGAAGGAATCATTATTATTATTACAGAGTGCACATGATTAAAAGTAAAAAGATCTGAAATTATATTTTATGTGTTTTTTAAACTTATTTTTGCCCATTAGTTGATAAAACTCTTGGCTTGTAGCGCCACCTGGTGGTTACATTTTCCGAAAGCGTTTCAAAGTTTTCAGCCTCTTTCTTTTTGCCCCATTTGGACGTGTTTTCATAAAGTGGATCGTGTCTGCTGGAGTCTGAGGACGAGCTGTGAAAAAATACAGTTTAGAGAGCATGGTTCCCAAAAGCTGGGGTCGGGACTCCTCTGTGGGTCACGAAACATGAAGTGAGGGTCCCCAGATGATGTCCTGACATCACTTTAAATGTAAACAACTTACCAATGTAAAAATTTCACCATGATTATTGCAAAAATAAATTTAAATAAATAAATGAACACAAGCAGTATCATAGTTATTATGTTTGCTTATATTATCATTATTGTGTCAATCAGTTATTAGCAAAGTTTGCATATGTATATGGAGTAATGAAGTGTAAAATAAAAAAATTAAAAATGTCACAAAGACATTTTAATTATTTAGATCGATTTCTGAGCGTTAAAATTTTCTACTTTCACTTTGTTGTTCTTACATTTAGCTTATTTCACTAAATGTTTAATTTAAATGTTGTGAAAATGTTATATGAAAATATATGCAAATAAGAATTTTTTATCTGCGGATAAATTTTTTCACATATGTCGTTATCACAAGAAAACCATTGAAAATAAATATCTGCTTCCATATAAATCTAAATGTTAGAGGTAAATCTTAAATACTGTGTGAAATGTCGACGTTTGCATTTAAGTGTTTTAGAATGGAATGCAGCCTTTTCTGTTGATGCTCTGCTCTTGTTATGACATCATCATCCTGCGACAAATGCTACCGCTAACGCTGCTAATGAACCTAAACGCTTACCAACAAAACTTGCAGCTGGTGTCTGAGCAGTGAAGCCTTCAGGAAGACGTCATCATTCTGCTACAAACATCAACACTAATATAACCAACTTAAGCTAAAAGGTTTGAAAAGCACTAGTTTAGATGAAAAAGAAAAAAATAGTATAGGTCTTCTGGACGGGTTCTTCTCTAATGAAACGTTTCGTCTCTCCTCCAAGAGACTTCTTCAGTCTGAGAGTTTCAGGCAAAACTCAGGCTTTTAAGCCCTGCCTCCATGTGACTGATACTCACATCRCATGGCTATCGTTGACACCTAATTAACACCTATTGTTAACAGGGGGTGGAGTGATACTGGCAATAGCCGCACYGCAGGAGGGGGACAACTGAAAACGGAGGCCTCCGTTAATTAAATAAAGRTGTAGGATTAAAGCTTTGAAAAAGGTGGTTAAACATGATCAGAACAGAGGAGGGAGGAGTGTCTGGATCCACAGTCAGTTATTTTTTTTTTATTTTTTTTTATTTTTTGTCCTATTTTTGTTCGAAGGTAATTCAGAGAGCGTCCAGCAGGGGGAGCCATTGATTCAGTCATTAAAAATGTGGTTCACCCCAAAGCACCTGTAAAAGCAAGTCAAAAAACTGAAAAATATGAAAATAAGCGCATTGAAATGAATCAAATGTTTTAGTTTTTCACCAAACTGTAGAACATTTGTAAATGCAGCTTTTCATTTTTTGCATGCAGAATAATGGATAAAAGTTTTCCCATCAGGAGAGGAGAGAGGAGGAGGAGGAGGAGGAGGGGGGAGTTGGAGTGTCCCAGCCCTCTGAGTCCAGCTGCTGTGCGGCTCCACAGCTGTGCTGCACCACTTACACCATGACTCAAGCCGCAAGCAGGACGCTTTTGGCACTATTCGTCACGTTTTGCGCTTTASGATGCGGATGGACAGGTAAAGAAAAAACAATTATTTCACTTTGTGCATCTTTTGGACTCAACATTGATTTATTTTTATTTTTATTGGGTGGAGTTTAGTTAGTCATAAACTAATTTAGACAATCTGCTCTTTACACGTGCATCTGTCTGTATCATAAACAACTGCAGACATTTAAAGCTTTCCAAAGTCAAATATGCAACTAAATTCATWGTATTTTGCAGTGCAGTTTGACTGTGTCAGAAATTCCTGACTGACACCAAGTTTTTGCACCATTTTGCTTTGYGATGGAAAATAAGAAGCAGCCCTTGACAAACCTCATCCATCTGCAGAAGCGGTGAACGGTTACAGTTGTTWGGGACATGATGACAAATTTCAATCTGCATCATGAATTGCAGTGAGGAGGGGGGGAAAAAGTTTCCTGTGTGTGGTTTGATGCCAGGTTGGTGACTAATTGGGCTGAAAGTGGTGATGAACGACCTGCCTGCTTATTTTTCTGTCACATTTCTTTCTTCTGTCACCCTTAACATTACCCATTAATTGTTCCCGACGATTTTTAACCCACAAGAACTGCAGCCGGTGAGGGAAAATAAAACAAAAACACTTTGAGGTATTCATCAAAATGTGCGGCAATTCTTGCATTCACAGAAATGTTTTAAAAGCTTCAGAGGAGCCGTTTGTAGAATCCATTTTCAGTGGAAGGATCTTAGATTTTCCAGACAGGAGGAAAAAAAAATCTGAATATAAAAAAAAAGTCATAAAGCTTGAGGAGTTTTGGAAAGGAGGAGGCAAATCCTAAAGCCAGAGTCTCCTGTTTCCCCCTCTCATCCTCCAGTAGATCCAGCATACTGTACTTTAAATTCCACCAGTCTGTTTGGGAGCATTTAGTTCTTAAAATCATTGTTTTCTCAGAACATAAACAGCAGCTTTTTTATTGTGTTTTAGCTCAAGTTATTTCTATTTTCTTGTTTTCACATTTCCTGCTTTCAAACATTCAGACCTGAGAGTTGCAGCAGTCGCAATTGACCTCAGCTGACCGGTGGAAGTTTGGAAACATCAGAGGATGAGTGAGAGGAGACATTTTTCCTTTYGAGTGCGTGTCTCCACTTATTTTAATCCCCCATGTCTTAACAGTAYACTGACCAYGTTTGAAGCCGWTAGGTCAAAAGCCCTAGGAGGAGTTCGCAAAAGTTCGATGTAAGCGAAAGTGAAACTTAGCAAAAAATTGACCTTTGAACCAAAATGGCCGACTTACTGTATATTTTAGGGCCACCTCCAAGAGACTTTTTTTTAGATTTTGGGGAGTTCTACCTATGTGCTGAATTTCAGCTCTGTGAGACTTACCAGTTCCTCTATCTCACTTTAGGTGGCGCTGTCGAGTCATTTGGCCACGCCCATTAAAAATTCCAATGGATTCTTGTTATTTTTTTCCGGGGGACAATTTTGTGTGAAGTTTGGGAGYTTTTGAGAATGTTAAGGCCTCCAAATAAACGCGTTTCGATGCGAAGAGAATAATAATAATAAGAAGAAGAAACAGAAGGGTTACAGTAGGCCTTCGCAGTGCAACAAGTCATCAGGTCATCACCCTAAACTACTTCGCAGAAGTAGAGGAAACTGAGCTCCGGGGAATATCTGGATAWGTCGGTGGGGACGACGGAGACGGGGTCCAACTGGATGATCAGTGTCAGCTCATTTAATGCGGTCTGAGAGGTTCTGGAAAGTTTGTGGAGAGTAAGTGGGACAGAGCGTGAAGGGGAAAGAAGGAGTCATGTCCTTGCAGGCCAGTGGAATTTTATTCCTCTGCTCCACTTAACATGTTGGGATCCTGCAGGTACACCGGGCATTTGTCTGCTAAACGCTTTAAAACCGAAACCACACGCTAAACCTGACTTGTGCTTCGGAGGGACCAGAAACTAGAGTCCTGCAGGCATGGCATCTGTTCATATTCCTAATATTTTCCACAGTTCTGGGTCAATGTAATCACCGGTATAGTTTGTACCTGAAACCCCACCCTCCTGCCGCTTGGCTGCCTGTCAAACCTGCCAGCAATGGCAGTGTTGTCTCTTGTGCTGAAGTCATCTCGGGGCGCTGGCCCATCTGTTCAGACACGTACCACCTGGACTGAACACACCTGTCACAGCACAGAAAAGGTCAGCGTGCTGAGAACAACGGAGCTCTAACTGTAACGTGTCAGCTTTCATCAAAGGATAAATATTACAGGAATCTAGAAAATGTTTGGGATGAGATCAAACTGTCTGGTTGCTATGTACTTTAAAAAAATATGATCTTACCAGTATTTTCCTTTCCTGTAATTTGTGTGACATTAGCATTAAAGGGGATGTATCATGTAAAATCCTATRTTTTACCCATTGAATACATTTTGTTGTGTATTTAGTCAATAGGAGTGCAGAAAATTAGAATTTAGTTTCTCCTGGTAGTGATATCTTTATATTCTGTTTAGGTCATRGTTTTAACCTGTTCAGTTTTGTTCTGTTTTCTATGACTTTTTCTGAACTATTACGTCACAGACTTTGCAATAGAACTGCCAAATAAGGTCTGGACTTACCATCTAACCCAGGGGTGGGCAATCCTGGTCCTCGAGGGCCGCAGCCCTACAGGTTTTGTGTTTTTCCCTGCTCCAACACACCTGATTCAGAC